GGGAATTACCATCCAGCTGGATCGTAACGGAGTACTGGTCCAAACACTTCCATTATGCTGATATGCTACAATCTGTATCATGTACTGTAGTACCAATGTCCACGACTATTCTGTACCTAACAGAAGAACCACATTCCTGAAAATGAAAATGACATATTCGTGGAAATCTCGGTTGCACGATTCGGAATATGTTATCATTCTGTGTTTATGAATCCCTATCAAATTGTTATGATTGCAATGAACCACCTGTGGTCACAGACACATGCAAAGACACATCAATTGTTTACCTAGGAAAATACGGGAACACGCTAACCCTGATGCAAGTAAATGTAGGGAAATGCATCTGACATCATTCTTGTCACTGCTGCGTCCACTTTGGAAATATCTTCCATAAAACCTTCCGATGCTAAATATGATAATTCACTCATGCTTGTACAATGTCAAGCCCAGAAACCGTGTCACCGCTGTCTAGGGACAGTCCCATGTACATGATGCTTGTCATCAAAGCCAACATGGGTGATTGCTCATGCTGTCAACCACTGGTTTGCGTGTCTTCAACGATCATTTGCATTCTACGTTCAAACAGCTAGGCACCCGTGAAGGTCCGGGTTAGAATTGGTCTTCAGCAACCGCGTAAGAGGCGTAACGGGATCAAACAGCTAGGCCGCCCGTGGTGTAGTGGTTAGAGCGAAGATCCGGCGTTAGAATTGGTCTTCAGCAACCTCGGCATTATGGGTACAACAAGGATTTCGTCGTATAAGGCGACTAACGGGCATCGTGGGCTAGAACTATAAAACCAGGCTCTGGGCTGACCCGGTTGACACATTCATCTCAAGCACGATCCCAATTTCACCTCACCTCACATTGATCGATGTTCATGCAGTTGATCTGGATTGTCTGGTCCAGACTCGATTATTCACAGACCGCCGCCATATAGCTGGAATATTGCTGGGTACGGCGTTAAACAACGTTCTTTAGCTGACGGAAGACATAATCAAATTCACCAGTGACTATCTGTATGACTAACCTGACCCCCGAGTCTATTTTGTCACGTGTTTATTCTGTTAAGGATGCACGTGGCACTATGGCACAAGATACCCCCTAATGAGACTTTACAATCTGAATACAAGATATATATACAAATTACCAAATGCCACAAGAGCATGGAATCTCCTGAACGCCTAACGGGCATGCAGGACCGTCGGATTGGTTGACGCTCCAGCTCGCTGGCGTTATAAAAATAACGGCTGTTTATATTATACACCGCGCACCTGCCATGAGGTCAAAATTGTAACGCATAATGACATATGATTACATCGTGTTCTAAGCATCGAAATAATGCATCAGCAATTTCGGACACTTTATATTACGTAAATGAGTCATAACGGTCTATATTTCCGGTCGGCCTTATCAGGGTGGGTCTACGAAAGTCAGCTCAAATGCTGCACGTGCCGTCCATGTAGAAGACTGTTAAAAAAAGGGCCGTGGTTTCATAGCCGGGACAAAGCACAGTCTAACATATCCACCACAAGAATTCTGATGTCATCTGAGATGTTGCGTAGTTCAAAGTCCACGTGATAGTTTCATGTGTCTTGTTTAATGTTAGCTTGGCCTTTGCATGTGAATAGAATGTAAAGATCATATGCATCTGACATTAGTTGATTTGTTGTAACATGAATATCTAATTCATGGTGTAATTACTCCGTAGACAGCGGAATAATGGGACTTATTAGCTGGGCTACAAACCGGTGAAGGAACTCGAGTCATCCAGTCATTAGAAATTCCATCTGTAGAGTTGTCTCCCTTGGAATATCTCTTTAGAATATGTGGTTTTGAATATTCGTCTTGGTTTGATTCTTGTCAAGCTGATTGCATGCATTGACATAAGTGGAGTTCATGTTTCAAATCGGCGTTAAACCAAACACACACAATTTTGTAAATTGTCACATTTTGTAAATTGAATAAAGCATTATCTCCCTTGTGAAAATATAGTTCTGCAGATTTGGTAAAGGTTTATGTCAGTAACCTCCGAATGTTCCCCAAAACGCTAAATCACTCAATAATGTTGGGATTAAATTGAAATCCCCAATCCTGAAAGTAAATTCAGAAACAAGTATGTACTATTGGAAGATCTGAATTGCTACCAGAATAACAATAGAATGAGTGTGGTTTTACGTCGCTATCAAATATTCCAGCATTCCTTCAGATTTGGGATCGAAATCCCCCGTGACCAGCAAAAGCTTTAACCACTAGGCTACCCCACCGCCTTATGAAAGATTGATGTGACAAGCTCAGTTTCTAACTTCATGTTCCAATTCGGGGAGAAAACCCCGGAAGTGACGTAGGTGGTAGGCGCCATATAATGTTTTACTCTTGATGTGGCAAATTATGACGTCAAAGAAATATTTTGCACGCAACGTGTTTCAACATATATTCACTAACGCTGATGTTTATGAACAAACAATAAACAATCATGGACGTTGGCCTTGCTGTCGTATCTGTTATTGACATTCAAAGTTCTGAAATGCATGTCAGTTATGTTTTCAGCGTAGTTGTTGAATCAGCTGGTCCTAATACGTAGTAAAAGATAAGGTGATACTTCTCGGGATATAGTTCCTTTCCGGAATAATTTATCCGCCATATGTATTAATATAAGTTGAAGTTTTGTACATTTTCCAATAAGCAGCTACGGGGCGCGCATAACGCAGTCGTCAAAGCCGCCTCAATTCGTTTTGCAAAGTTGCGTCCCTTGGGAACGACAGGAACTTATGATCAAGGGTTTGAATCACAGATTCGCCGTGATTGTGGTTCTTGACACACCATGATATAACTGAAATACTGTAAAGCGGCCTTAAACTCACTCACTCACTCAGCCACAAACCCACTCACTAACTCACTAACCCACTCACCCACCCACTCACTCACTCACCAACAAACCCACTCACTCACTCACCCACCCACTCACTAACTCACCAACAAACCCACTCAACCCCACTCACTAACTTACCCACCAACAAATCCACTCACCCACCCACTCACCCACCAACACCCACAAACCCACCCACTCACTCAACCCAAACCCACCCACTCACCACCACCCACCCACTAACCCACTCACCCACTCACTCACTCACTCACCAACAAACCCACTCTTCCATCCACCCACTCACTCACCAACAAACCCACTCAGCCACCCACCCACTCACTCACTCACAAACAAACCCACTCACAAACAAACCCACTTCATCCATCCAACCACTCACTCACTCACCAACAAACCCACTCACCCACCCACCCACTCACTCACTCACCAACAAACCCACTCACCCACCCACCCACCCCAACAAACCACCACCAACCCACCCACTCACTCACTCCACCAACAAACCCACTCACCCACCCACTCCCTCACCAACAAACCCACTCACCAACAAACCCACTCATCCATCCAACCACTCACTCACTCACCAACAAACCCACTCACCAACAAACCCACTCACCCACCCACCCATTCACTCACTCACCAACAAACCCACTCACTCACTAACTAACTCACTCACCCACCCACTTACTCACCAGCAAACCCACTCACTCACTTCGAGCACCAGTCTGACGGAATGTGTGTTTCCAGATAAATGGGATCGAAGCTAGCGAGGGTTCATGGTACGTTGAACGACCTGTCAATATTGTTTCTAATTCCTTGTTCCGATCTTGGGGATGATTACGGAAAACAATTCCAGAATTGCATTCTTGGCATCATACGCCACACGCATGCTGGCAGTTTGATTTGTGTGAAACTCAGCCATTAAAACCTTTTTGATACCCAAATGTTCTGTTTTTCATAAGAACTGAAACTAATCAATGATAAAGATATGTGTTTTGCTTTTACGTGTCAAGTCAAGACCGATGCTTCGATCGTTATGTACTGAAATAGAAATCCGTACGGACGAAAATTAGCTCCTGTCAAAATGTTAAGAGAACTGGCACGTAAACTGACAGTGCACGATACATTACAGTAACGTTAACAAGTCCCCTTACTCCACAGATGTTCTGCAGGTTGAGAAAATATTTATATTTCTAAATATGGTATATCTGGTGAGCTGCATCCCCGTGTCATGTAACGGGAGATCGATCTCATTGGTTGTAATGCTGACCTTGCCCTTACCAAAAGAGGGCAACAATTGATCTTAGATACATCCCCTCTCCCATTCCCCCCCTCTCTCCCCCATCTCGATTTTCCTGATCCCCCCTCCCTCCTATCATCACCGATCAAAGTTATTTTGCAACAACTGCGTTTCATTCACATGCTGTAATCTTCCACAATTTCCCAAGGGTCAAAGCCTAAACTGGCAGATAATTGGAGGAAAGAATGGTTTGGAAATAGAATCGCTATTACGCAAAATATCGATGATAAATAAGTGCTTGCATATCAAAGAGTTGACCGCCTCAAAGGACAAGAATCGGCATGGTTGTCAGCCTGTGTTCACAAAGAAGACCCTTGTCGTCACCCTGGGCTATCAGGTTTGTAGAACCAACTTGCATGCCAGTTCCATGCTGGTTCCATGCCTGCAACTGCCTCAACCTCCATGGGAATGCCCATAGAGTCGTGGCTAATTCGTATTTTCGAAAAAACATCACGCTCCATCTTGGAATGTATTGCCTAAAAACGAACCCATTTACAATGCAGGTCAGAACGCCATGATGTTGTTGACGGATCTGTGCACGGTTTGTTCGCTGATTTAGTTGATAGAATTAATTCCACAAAACCAAATCGGCATGCGGATGCATGAAACTATGTATTTAGATGGGGGTCCGTGTTCGATTATACCAGAGAGACTTGCAGCCTGGCGTCATTTACTGGATAGCATCGAGTATTGTCTCAACGATATTAAACGCCGGAGTTCCATATTTTCAAGATGACCACACAGTCTCGAAACACACCCACTCGCAACTTAATCTTAGAAAGCAAATTTAACCATCGGAGGTTTTTTTCTTTCCAGATACCCTTCCGGTGAAATTTCCCAGCGATGTTTGTTCGGGGGTAATTGGTGATAGTGTGATTGATGTTCTCCGCTCTGTCCACGGCGATACTACACAGCGTCAGATCAGCACCGGTGTATCTGTATACGACATCGTCAACGTAGCCGGTAAGCTTGTAATACCTATTGACAGATAAGCCTATACCCTCAAAACTGAGGGCTCCAGACTGGGCAGCGAGGCACACATCTGGCGCTTTGCACGCAACTTCCATGTATACGTGTCTCGTCTCGCGAGACCTTTATAGTCTCGCACGCACGCCCTCTGTCGACGAGAAGTTGCAATTGGCGTCTGCGGTTCGTCATTTAAGGAATCTGTCAATGAAGAGTAACAATATTATAACAAATGTTGTAACGTCAGGCACATTGAAATGAAAATCTGGTGACGTTATGTCTTCTAACGGTACTCATTACTGTCAGTAACAGGGTCATGTAATCACAATACGAATGCCATAGAACAGACATTGACTGGACATAATCACTTTCAGAGGCCCAAGGTCTGGCGAACACTGATGGTCGAAGGTCCGAATGGATAGTTAATCTATCCATTTAGATATGAAGCGAGCCTGTGTAATCAATATTAAAGATTTGATATCCGACATATCCCGACATCAAATGTAGGAGTCTAATAATAACCTGAATGGTGGTGTGTTCGGATCTGCTAAGGCTCCCATAGTGTAAAAAGTGTTAACCCGTTAAATACGACTGTCATGGTCCAGTTTCGTTAACAGAATTTCCTGGTGGACAAATCATGGATATTGCATAATGCCCAAAGTCAGTGGTGTTCGGGAGGGGCCACGTAGATATAAGACATAAAACTCCTCATTTTCTACTTCCAAGAGTGCAATTCAGTTACTGACTGAACTGGATCATCTTTAACCCACAGTGACTCTCAGGGGCGGTAGGGGTAGCCTGCTGGTTAAAGCGTTCGCTCGTCACGCCAAAGGCCCTGGTTCGATTCCCCACATGGGTGAAGCCCATATTTGGTGTCCCCCGCCGTGATATTGGTGGAATATTGCTAAAAGCGGCGTAAAACGCAACTCACTCACTCACTCGCAGAGACTGTCTCTCTTCCTATATTGCACGTGCCTGTGTTAAACCACTGATCGCGTTGAGGCGGACTGATTGGCCAACTGTACTGAAAGCCTCATGGCCAGCATATACATAACATATTCAGTTCTGTTGTGTAAGCACAACGCTTGCTTGCTCAGCATAAGAAACAACTATAACAACAAATAGTCTCTGATAAACTGCCACGCCCACAATTACAGAATGTTTAGCGTTGTTAATTGCACAATCTCTCGGAAATGCGAATGGTCTGTCTATTACGCGATACATATCGGCAGGAAAAAAATTCGTCTGAATTCCATTTGTGAAAATTAGGTTACAGCGCTACCGTGGTATGTGACAAAATGACATCGAACTATGTGGCGTCTGCATACTTTTTCAGACATCTTATGGCCGTAACTCAATCAACTACACTTCAGTTATGACATGAATACCGCCACACAATCGATCGCTGAGGAACGGGGTCAGGATTTGCCTGGCTTAAAGCTGACAGTAGCCCTTGTACCCCAGCCACAGGGGTCAATAACGGCATCTACCTCACTAACGTTTGTCACCTGCTCCACAAAAATGGTGTTTTGTCTAGTAGAAGTGTATAGTAATTTGCCTGTGAAAATAAAAATACCTGTGTAAAGCGAAAAACAAACGAATAATTAAATGGTTGTGTTCAAATGAAGTTTAATCCATAATTTATACTATAACTTCTTTGACTGGCATTCTAGAAGTTGGGTAGATGGAAAATGAGGACTATTTTTATGGATATACAACTTTTGTATTCTGTATATACGACGTTTCGACATAGATTCTAATGTCGTTGTCAAGCACGTTTCCTTGACAACGACATTAGAATCTATGTTGAAACGTCGCTTATACAGAATAAAGAAGTTTTTCATCACAATAAAAATAGTTCCCATTCTTCATTTATACTATAAATGACTATAAACATCCACTGGGTATTGTGTCGTAGGTGACAGGCCTTACTGTGTAGTGGGTGACAGACCATACTGTGTAGTAGGTGACAGGCCTTACTGTGTAGTGGGTGACAGACCTTACTGTGTAGTGGGTGATAGACCTTACTGTGTAGTGGGTGACAGACCTTACTGTGTAGTGGGTGATAGACCTTACTGTGTAGTGGGTGACAGGCCTTACTGTGTAGTGGGTGACAGGCCTAACTATGTAGTGGGTGATAGACCTTACTGTGTAGTGGGGGACAGACCTTACTGTGTAGTGGGTGACAGACCTTACTGTGTAGTGGGTGACAGACCTTACTGGGTGACGTGATAGACCTGTGTAGTGGGTGACAGACCTTACTGTGTAGTGGGTGACAGGCCTTACTGTGTAGTGGGTGACAGACCTTACTGTGTAGTGGGTGACAGGCCTTACTGTGTAGTGGGTGACAGGCCTTACTGTGTAGTGGGTGATAGACCTGTGTAGTGTGTGACAGGGTGTGGGTGACAGACCTTACTGTGTAGTGTGACAGGCCTTACTGTGTAGTGGGTGACAGACCTTACTGTGTAGTGGGTGACAGACCTTACTGTGTAGTGGGTGACAGGCCTTACTGTGTAGTGGGTGACAGTCCTTACTGTGTAGTGGGTGACAGGCCTTACTGTGTGTTGTGTGACAGGCCTTACTGTGTAGTGGGTGACAGACCTTACTTGTGTAGTGGGTGACAGGCCTTACTGTGTAGTGGGTGACAGACCTTACTGTGTAGTGGGTGACAGACCTTACTGTGTAGTGGGTGACAGGCCTTACTGTGTAGTGGGTGACAGGCCTTACTGTGTAGTGGGTGACAGGCCTTACTGTGTAGTGGGTGACAGACCTTACTGTGTAGTGGGTGACAGACCTTACTGTGTAGTGGGTGACAGGCCTTACTGTGTAGTGGTGACAGACCTTACTGTGTAGTGGGTGACAGGCCTTACTGTGTAGTGGGTGACAGACCTTACTGTGTAGTGGGTGACAGACCTTACTGTGTAGTGGGTGACAGGCCTTACTGTGTAGTGGGTGACAGACCTTACTGTGTAGTGGGTGACAGACCTTACTGTGTAGTGGGTGACAGACCTTACTGTGTAGTGGGTGACAGGCCTTACTGTGTAGTGGGTGACAGGCCTTACTGTGTAGTGGGTGATAGACCTTACTGTGTAGTGGGTGACAGGCCTTACTGTGTAGTGGGTGACAGGCCTTACTGTGTAGTGGGTGACAGACCTTACTGTGTAGTGGGTGATAGACCTTACTGTGTAGTGGGTGACAGACCTTACTGTGTAGTGTGTGACAGACCTTACTGTGTAGTGGGTGACAGACCTTACTGTGTAGTGGATGACAGACCTTACTGTGTAGTGGGTGACAGGTGTAGTGGGTGACAGGCCTTACTGTGTAGTGGGTGACAGACCTTACTGTGTAGTGGGTGACAGGCCTTACTGTGTAGTGTGTGACAGGCCTTACTGTAGTGGGTGACAGACCTTACTGTGTAGTGGGTGACAGGCCTTACTGTGTAGTGGGTGACAGACCTTACTGTGTAGTGGGTGACAGACCTTACTGTGTAGTGGGTGACAGACCTTACTGTGTAGTGGGTGACAGGCCTTACTGTGTAGTGGGTGATAGACCTTACTGTGTAGTGGGTGACAGGCCTTACTGTGTAGTGGGTGACAGACCTTACTGTGTAGTGGGTGACAGGCCTTACTGTGTAGTGTGTGACAGGCCTTACTGTGTAGTGGGTGACAGAACTTACTGTGTAGTAGGTGACAGACCTTACTGTGTAGTAGGTGACAGACCTTACTGTGTAGTGGGTGACAGGCCTTACTGTGTAGTGGGTGACAGGCCTTACTGTGTAGTGGGTGACAGGCCTTACTGTGTAGTGGGTGACAGACCTTACTGTGTAGTAAGTGACAGACCTTACTGTGTAGTAAGTGACAGACTTTATTGTGTAGTGGGTGACAGATCTTACTGCGTAGTGGGTTACAGGCCTTACTGTGTAGTGGGTGACAGGCCTTACTGTGTAGTGGGTGACAGACCTTACTGTGTAGTGGGTGACAGGCCTTACTGTGTAGTGTGTGACAGACCTTACTGTGTAGTGGGTGACAGACCTTACTGTGTAGTGGGTGACAGGCCTTACTGTGTAGTGGGTGACAGGCCTTACTGTGTAGTGGGTGACAGACCTTACTGTGTAGTAAGTGACAGACCTTACTGTGTAGTAAGTGACAGACCTTACTGTGTAGTGGGTGACAGACCTTACTGTGTGTTGTGTGACAGGCCTTACTGTGTAGTGGGTGACAGACCTTACTGTGTAGTGGGTGACAGACCTTACTGTGTAGTGGGTGACAGACCTTACTGTGTAGTGGGTGACAGACCTTACTGTGTAGTGGGTGACAGGCCTTACTGTGTAGTGGGTGACAGACCTTACTGTGTAGTGGGTGACAGGCCTTACTGTGTAGTGGGTGACAGACCTTACTGTGTAGTGGGTGACAGGCCTTACTGTGTAGTGGGTGACAGACCTTACTGTGTAGTGGGTGACAGACCTTACTGTGTAGTGGGTGACAGGCCTTACTGTGTAGTGGGTGACAAGCCTTACTGTGTAGTGGGTGATAGACCTTACTGTGTAGTGGGTGATAGACCTTACTGTGTAGTGGGGGACAGACCTTACTGTGTAGTGGGTGACAGACCTTACTGTGTAGTGGGTGACAGACCTTACTGTGTAGTGGGTGACAGACCTTACTGTGTAGTGGGTGACAGACCTTACTGTGTAGTGGGTGACAGAGGCCTTACTGTGTAGTGGGTGACAGGCCTTACTGTGTGTAGTGGGTGACAGGCCTTACTGTGTAGTGGGTGACAGACCTTACTGTGTAGTAAGTGACAGACCTTACTGTGTAGTGGGTGACAGACCTTACTGTGTAGTGGGTGACAGGCCTTACTGTGTAGTGGGTGACAGACCTTACTGTGTAGTGGGTGACAGACCTTACTGTGTAGTGGGTGACAGGCCTTACTGTGTAGTGGGTGACAGACCTTACTGTGTAGTGGGTGACAGACCTTACTGTGTAGTAAGTGACAGACCT